CATATTATCAACGTTTTTGGCAAAAAATTGCTTTATTTTGGAACAGAATCGAAAATAATGAGCCCACGCAGAGAAATTGGAATTATGAAATTTCAATTTTTTTACGGGGCCTTTCCAATTTGCCCCCTGTCTAAATCTACAAGTTGTTACTGTTCTCAATGCTTCAATGCAATCGATGAGAGCTATCATATCATCAACCTTTTTTGGTAAAAGTTGCTATTTTTTGGAACAGAATCGAAAATACTGAGCCAACGCAGAAAAATTGGAAATGTGAAGTTTCAATTTTTCTTCGTAGCCTATCTAATTTGCTCCCTGTCTAAGTCTTCAAGTTTTCACTGTTCTAAATGCTTTATATCAATGAGAACTATCATATTATTAACGTTTTTGGTAAAAAACTGCTCTATTTTGGAACGGAATGGAAAATACTGAGCCAACGCAGAAAAATTGGAAATGTGAAGTTTCAATTTTCCTTCGTAGCCTATCTAATTTGCTCCCTGTCTAAGTTTACAAGTTTTCACTAATCTAAATGCTTCAAATCGATAAGAACTATCATATTATCAACGTTTTTGGCAAAAAATTGCTTTATTTTGGAACAGAATCGAAAATAATGAGCCCACGCAGAGAAATTGGAATTATGAAATTTCAATTTTTTTACGGGGCCTTTCCAATTTGCCCCCTGTCTAAATCTACAAGTTGTTACTGTTCTCAATGCTTCAATGCAATCGATGAGAGCTATCATATCATCAACCTTTTTTGGTAAAAGATGCTATTTTTTGGAACAGAATCGAAAATACTGAGCCAACGCAGAAAAATTGGAAATGTGAAGTTTCAAATTTTCTGCATGCCCTATCTAATTTGCCTTCTGTCTTAGTCTACAAGTTGTCACTGTTCTTAATTCTTCAAATCGACAAGAACTTTAAAATTATCAACGTTTTTGGTAAAAAGATGCTTTATTTAGGAACAGAATCGAATATAATGGGCACAAGCAGAAAAATTGGAAATGTGAAGTTTCAATTTTTTTTCGTGGCCTATCTAAATTGCCCCCTGTCAAAGTCTACAAGTTGTCACTGTTCTAAATGCTTTAAATGGACGAGAACTATCATATTATTAACGTTTTTGGTAAAAAACTGCTCTTTTTTGGAACAGAATGGACTATAATGAGCCCACGCGGAAAAATTGGAAATGTTAAGTTTCAAATTTTCTGCATGGCCTATCTAATTTGCCTTCTGTCTTAGTCTACAAGTTGTCACTGTTCTTTATTCTTGAAATCGACAAGAACTATAATATTATCAACGTTTTTGTAAAAAAGATGCTTTATTTAGGAACAGAATGGAATATAATGGGCCCACGCAGAAAAATTTGAAATGTGAAGTTTCAATTTTTTTTCGTGGCCTATCTAATTTGCCCCCTGTCTAAGTCTACAAGTTTTCACTGTTCTAAATGCTTCAAATCGATGAGAACTATCATATTATCAACATTTTTGGTGAAAAACTCCTCTATTTTGGAACAGAATCGAAAATAATGAGCCCATGCAGAAAAATTGCAAATGTGAAGTTTCATTTTTTCTGTCTGGCCTATCTAATCTGCCCCCTGACTAAGTCTACAAGTTGTCATTGTTCTTAATGCTTCGAATCGATGAGAACTATCATATTATCGACATTTTTGATAAAAAACTGCATCTTTTTTTGGAACAAAATGGAAATTATTGAGCAAACGCAGAAAAATTGGAAATGTGAAGTTTCAAATTTTCTGCATGCCCTATCTAATTTGCCTTCTGTTTTAGTCTACAAGTTGTCACTGTTCTTAATTCTTCAAATCGACAAGAACTATAAAATTATCAACGTTTTTGGTAAAAAGATGCTTTATTTAGGAACAGAATCGAATATAATGGGCACAGGCAGAAAAATTGGAAATGTGAAGTTTCAATTTTTTTTCGTGGCCTATCTAAATTGCCCCCTGTCAAAGTCTACAAGTTGTCACTGTTCTAAATGCTTTAAATGGACGAGAACTATCATATTATTAACGTTTTTGGTAAAAAACTGCTCTTTTTTGGAACAGAATGGACTATAATGAGCCCACGCAGAAAAATTTGAAATGTGAAGTTTCAATTTTTTTTCGTGGCCTATCTAATTTGCCCCCTGTCTAAGTCTACAAGTTTTCACTGTTCTAAATGCTTCAAATCGATGAGAACTATCATATTATCAACATTTTTGGTGAAAAACTCCTCTATTTTGGAACAGAATCGAAAATAATGAGCCCATGCAGAAAAATTGCAAATGTGAAGTTTCATTTTTTCTGTCTGGCCTATCTAATCTGCCCCCTGACTAAGTCTACAAGTTGTCATTGTTCTTAATGCTTCGAATCGATGAGAACTATCATATTATCGACATTTTTGATAAAAAACTGCATCTTTTTTTGGAACAAAATGGAAATTATTGAGCAAACGCAGAAAAATTGGAAATGTGAAGTTTCAATTTTTCTGCGTGGCCTATCTAATGATAGTTGGAAGGTATTTTTTTGAGCAACCACAGGGTTAATTCTAGTAAGAGCAAATTGGAGAGAAGAGCTTAAACAAGGACGGGAAATTAAAGAATCATCTGAAAATTGAAATAAATTAGCCCATTTTCAAAGCCTCTTTTACTTTTTCAATTCACTATGAGAATTGAACATTTCAAAAAAATCGATGTTTACAGCAAATTCAAAAGCATTTTCGAATTTCTTTTTATTCATTTACCTTCATTTCTCCAAATTGTGTTCAATTTATCATGGATTAGAATCCGCATATTACGATTAGGGACTTATTAAATGGCAGTGGCCATCGCGACCACGCCTTTTAGATTAGCTTGCATTTATTCATTCGTTTCAAACCTTTTACTTTTTTCAGGCATAATTTTGTTTCTTTTAACAAATTCTGATTTAAAATGAAATTCATTACTTACTAGGACACGAGTCTTTAGTTTAGCTTAGGATACATTTCAGAATTTTTCTTACAGTAATTTTCTTTCAATAGCTTTAAAAAATTTACCTTTACTTTTGTTATGTTTGTTGATTCCATTCTTAAAAGAGAATTACATTACGAAACATTACAGACAGGGACGCCGGAGAATTGGGCGCGAGGGTCAACCCCCCTGTTGCCTTTTGATAGGAGGGGCAAGAGGGGCCAGGGTGCCCATTTGATTGAAGTACTCTTGAAACCGCCCCATTGTAAAAATCAGAGAGATTCCGTTGAAATTCTGATTCCAGTGCTTAATTCATGGCGACATTTCTTAAAACTTGTAAAAAAATCCTTATGCCAAAAGTTAGCCAATTTTCAAGATACCAACAGAAGATTGAAATAAAATTGTAGTTAGTAGGAGAAATGAGTAGAAGCTGAAAGTTATTTTCAAAGGTCCTTATACTCGATCTTGCCCCCTTGTTCTTAGATCGTTCCACTTCCAGTGTCCATGATAACAGACCTTGAGAACCTGGGACAAAATTGATCCTGCTCCCCTCGCAGCTATTTTAATATTTTAATAGTGTGACCATGAGGTAATGGCGGAAGTGTACAGCAAGGCTTCGAGAAAAAGTTCAAGATTCTGATATTCTTAAGTTCAAGATGACTGTTAAATTTACTGGAAATCCAAAGATTTGTTATTTTCAATGCAAAGATTGCTTAGATTTCTTGCGGTAGATGAAAATAGTAAGCCGAAATAGAAAGTTGATATAGTGAGTTTAGGCCCATCAGCTTGATTCGTTAAACCGTGGAAAAAACTGATGGTTGATCAATGGTTATTTAACTATAATGAATTTTGTAGTAGCATCTAGTCTTGTCTATTGTTCTCATCCTAGATAAGAAATTTGAATCTTTGCTAGTTTTTGCTGATTGCAGGGAATTATTTGGTATTTGAGATAGTCTTTCCATGTCTTAATAAAAGCATTACACACAGTGTTGTAACGTAAGCAATATTTTGGATTTATAGTTTTACAGATGTCTTATTTCGTTTACTTATTTCAAGAACCATAAGGAATCGTTGTTCAAATCAAATTAAGTAAGTTCAGCTCTTTGACATGCCTTCGACAAAAGTGAAAGAAATACTATGTTTCTTAAATGAATTGATTTTAAAAATACCTGCTCAAGCTTGAATATTCTCAGTAAAAAATGATATAAATTTACGCAAGGCTAGATAAAAGGGCAATTGATGATGACCGGGAAAATTTGAGTCAATTTCATTTCAAAATAAAAGGTCACGCCCAAAAGCCCCTTTCAACAGTCGGCAAATTGAGAGATTGCACCTTGAGCCTATATTTCAGGGAGGGGGCTGCCAGCATTATTACCCAAATTCAGCGATATTTATACTCGAATGCAAGAAAAATTACAAGACCTTTGCGTGACAATAGATTATGAAATCTTCAATATTGGACGACAAGTAATTATTATTTATTATTGTAATGTAGAAAAACGGGAATAAAGAATTGAGTTTTGTTGATGTAGGCAATTGAAACAAGACGTTTAAAGAGAATTAAATTGAGGTTTCTAGCAATAAAAGAAAGGTCCGTATCCAGCTAGGCCAACACCAGTAAAACAAAAATTCTAAATATTTCCAACAAAATGGTTCCAATACACCAATTCGACTTACGGCCTTGTTTTGAAAAATTCTCCTAACCTAACTATAAGACTTTTTAAAGCTCAAATTTGGTTTTATCACCATAATCTTAGGCCGGATAGAATTTTTCATATTGTTTGTGCTTGTATTTTAGATTTTACGTAAAAATGAAGTTTGAAAACTTGTAAGAAATTTGACCGAAAAATCATTGGGGGGAAATTTTAGCCCCATGTAAGACATTAAAACATCAATCGCTTTGACATTCGTAACAATCTTAATGCTTAGTAATGTTAATTTTCGTGTAAATACTGTGATGTAATGTTTACATTTGAGTGATAAACACAATGTTTCTTCTTTGGCTACTCAACAAAAACTACAGTTTCTCAAGTCTGCAATTTTCTTGAAGGAGAGTTGGTTGAAGAGGAATGGAAACCACAACAACGTTTGCACGTGATTTCAAAAGTAGATGTGATTGGTCGACCGTTGATATTCTCACAAAAAAGCGCGGGAATCAAGCATTGAATCAACCCTGTACTTGGCCTTGTTGTTTACAAAAAGACATCCACGAGGACGTTGTGCTCAAAGAAAATTAAAATTTCAACCCCTCAATGTGCAGATTTTAGAAATTTGATCCCTTTTCTATACTGATAAAGCAGCACCTCAATTTCTGCCGCCTGCATATTTTGATGAAGCTAAAGGAAAAACAAAAACCACTACATCAACATGCGGGGAATGTCTAGGCGCGTAAAATGGCGGCAGTTTCCTTCGCTGTCCAAGGGCTTGCAGTATGAGAAAGTCAACATTTCTTTTGACGTTGGTCAGGTAAATGACTTAACACTTTTAAAATACTGGTTGTCGACTGTAGGGCAATTGGACAAATATTTTGGCTTAGTTAATCTCAATTTCCAAGGCATTCGAGGATTATTTGACACAATTTACAGGGGGTGCTCTCTCCTCGATTAGTTTACCTATTGAGAGAGCTCCTCCTCAAGAAATTCCTCTCCATACAAATTTCTAGTTTATGGTAATTATTTATATTAACTATTTTGTCGTATTTTTAACTTGTTATAATTTTACTTTCATGTTAGTTTGTTTAATGGATTTTTGTATGTTGTCTGTATGTTGTCTGTATGTATGTTGTATGTATGTTGTCTTGTTCCATCTTTCCATTATGATAAAGCCCCAAAGCAAGCTAATTTGTCTTCAGAAATATGGAGAAAACCATATTAGTTTGTGCCCTAACAGAAATTGTTTATTGTCAGATTTAGTGGAGATATATATGAAAATAAATGAGTGTATTCTCAGACATTATTTTTGTATCCGTCTCAACATTGGTATGGATTATGGTAATGTGAATATTTCACATAAAGACTTGAAAAGAAAGGCTTCCAATTTATGAATAATATTTCTTTGTTATTGACTGTTGTGTTCTCTTTCAGGATGAGAGTGTGACCATGCAAAGACAGTAGCAACAATGTGTGTCGCCGAATCCGGTATTTGCAGCTGTGTGGAAAAAAACTCTGGCTGAAAATGCGATGGTTGAGCAGACAGTTGCTATGGATACCCAGCTTGCAGGCAGAGGTATTGTATTATACTGTATTCTATTGTTTATAAGTTTATCGCATTGAATGATTTATTTAATGATAGTTTAACAATAGCAAAAAAACACAAAATCCGACTAACCTGAAGCAAAAACAAGGATTTCTCAAGGCAGTTAATTTGCCGAAAAATAACACGTCTTCGTTTTCTAATAGCCAAATTTCAATCAGATTTTCAATTAATGCAAATTTATTGAAAAGCTAAGCGCCCGGATGCTCTAATCTATAGTTTTGACCTTTTGTCTCAAGAAAGATTTCATACACGATAATTGTGAGTCGTTATTTTTGGCAAAAAACCATCGAATCTAGATTATCAAAAATTCAGATTGTCAAAAATTTTAGATACGCTGACATGCTATATGATTAAGGTGTATGGTAGTCTCCTTCAAGTTGGCAACAAAATCATTAAAGTAGGATGAATAGACACAAAACTTTAGCGGTAATGATCTTTAATTTTTATTAAATTATCATGACTTCCTTTGCTACATAACATCCATACTAATGGGCAATAGAAAAAAATAAGCAATACCAAAATTAATGGTAAATATCCTTTAATAATTGGTCTTTATTATGCTTTGCTGTTCACTCTAAATAATTGAATTGTTGGCTTTATATTTTCAGATATATTGATGTTAAGTTTCTAACTTAGGATAATTGTCAAACTTAAAACAATGTAAAATTATATTATTGTAAACTCAGTGGCAATGTCAAGCTTTTTTATAACCTCCCATTTCTCGAATTATAATTGTGTATATAGAAAATTTTTCAATTTAAACCATTCCAGGAGTTTGTTGGTGTTTGTCTTTATCAGCTGTAGAAGTTGTTACAATAGATAGAATTAGTTCTGATAGCGTAGATTTTTGGATAGGAAAGGTCATAAAAGGATTGATCAAAAATATCCTAGGTCTTCAACTGGGTAGGTCTTCGAAAAGAAAATAATTTTCATAGGATAGATTCGTCATTGATCCGATAGTTCATTAAAACGATATCTGATTGACTGAATACGTCATTAGTAGGATAGATCATTAGAATGATAGGTGTTTAATAGGATAGGTCTTTCGTAGAATTAGTCTTGAAGGGGATAAATCATTAGTAGGATAGGCCATTAGTAGGATAGGACATTAGTAGGATAGGCCATTAGTAGGTTAAGTCATTAGTAGGCTAGGACATTAGTAGGATAGGCCATTAGTAGGATAGGACATTAGTAGGATAGGACATTAGTAGGATAGGTCATTAGTAGGAAAGGTCATTAGTAGGATAGGTCATTAGTAGGATAGGACATTAGTAGGATAGGACATTAGTAGGATAGGTCATTAGTAGGAAAGGTCATTAGTAGGATAGGTCATTAGTAGGATAGGACATTAGTAGGATAGGACATTAGTAGGATAGGTCATTAGTAGGAAAGGTCATTAGTAGGATAGGTCATTAGTAGGATAGGCCATTAGTAGGATAGGACATTAGTAGGATAGGCCATTAGTAGGTTAGGACATTAGTAGGATAGGACATTAGTAGGATAGGTCATTAGTAGGAAAGGTCATTAGTAGGATAGGTCATTAGTAGGATAGGCCATTAGTAGGATAGGACATTAGTAGGATAGGCCATTAGTAGGTTAGGACATTAGTAGGATAGGACATTAGTAGGATAGGTCATTAGTAGGAAAGGTCATTAGTAGGATAGGTCATTAGTAGGATAGGCCATTAGTAGGATAGGACATTAGTAGGATAGGTCATTAGTAGGATAGGTCATCAGTAGGATAGGTCATTAGTAGGATAGGTCATCAGTAGGATAGGTCATTAATATGTTTGTTGTTTAATAGGTTAAGTCATTAGTAGGCTAGGACATTAGTAGGATAGGTCATTAGTAGGTTAGGCCATTAGTAGGGTAGGTGTTTATTAAAATTGGTCATTAGTAGGATAGCTGTTTGATAGATTAAGTCATTAGTAGGCTAGGACATTAGTAGGATAGGTCATTAGTAGGATAGGTCATCAGTAGGATAGGTTTTTAATAAAATTGGTCATTAGTAGGCTAGGTCATTAGTAGGATAGGTCATTATAAGGATAGGCCATTAGTAGGATTGGTTTTTAATAAAATTGGTCATTAGTAGGATAGTTATTTGATAGATTAAGTCATTAGCAGGCTAGGACATTAGTAGGATAGGTCATTAGTAGGATAGGTCATTAGTAGGATAGGTTTTTAATAAAATTGGTCATTAGTAGGATAAAACATTAGTAGGATAGGTCATAAGTAGGATAGGCCATTAGTAGGATAGGTTTTTAATGAAATTGGTCATTAATTGGCTAGGACATTAGTAGGATAGGTCATTACTAGGATAGGCCATTAGTAGGATAGGTTATTAATAAAATTGGTCATTAGTAGGATAGGCCATTAGTATGTTTGGTGTTTAATAGGTTAAGTCATTAGTAGGCTAAGACATTAGTACGATAGGTCATTAGTAGGATAGGCCATTAGTAGGATAGGGTTTTAATAAAATTGGTCATTAGTAGAATAGGTCATTAGTAGGATAGGTCATTAGTAGGATAGGACATAAATAGGATAGGCCATTAGAAGTTTAGGTTTTTAATAAAATTGGTCATTAGTAGGATAGGACATTAGTAGGCTAGGACATTAATAGGATAGGCCTCTAGTAGGATAGGTTTTTAATACAATTGGTCATTAGTAGGATAGGACATTAGTAGGATAGACCATTAGTAGGATAGGACATTAATAGGATTGGCCTCTAGTAGGATAGGTTTTTAATAAAATTGGTCATTAGTAGGATAGGACATTAGAAGGATAGGACATTAGTAGGATAGGCCATTAATAAAATTGGTCATTAATAGAATGGGACAATAGTATTATAGGTTTTTAATAAAATTGGTCATTAGTAGGAAAGGTCATTAGTAGGATAGGTCATTAGTAGGTAAGGCCATTAGTAGGATAGGTGTTTAATAAAATTGGTCATTAGTAGGATAGTTGTTTGATAGATTAAGTCATTTGTAGGGTAGGACATTAGTAGGATAGGTTAATAGTAGGATAGCTGATTGGTAGGATAGGCCATTATTAGGATAGGTTTTTAATAAAATTTTTCATTAGTCGGCTAGGACATTACTAGGATAGGTCATTAGTAGGATAGGACATTAGTAGGATAGGCCATTAGTAGGTTAGGTTTTTAATAAAATTGGTCATTATTAGGATAGGACATTAGTAGGCTAGGACATTAATAGGATAGGCCTCTAGTAGGATAGGTTTTTAATAAAATTGGTCATTAGTAGGCTAAGACATTAGTAGGATAGACATTAGTAGGATAGGACATTAGTAGGATAAGCCATTAGTAGGTTAGGTTTTAAATGAAATTGGTCATTAGTAGGATAGGACATTAGTAGGATAGATCATTAGTAGGATAGGACATTAGTAGGATAGGCCATTAGTAGGTTAAGTTTTTAATGAAATTGATCATTAGTAGGATAGGACATTAGTAGGATAGACCATAAGTAGGTTAGGTTTTTAATAAAATTGGTCATTAGTAAGATAGGACATTAGTAGGATAGGTCATTAGTAGGATAGGACATTAGTAGGATAGGCCATTAGTAGGTTAGGCTTTTAATAAAATTGGTCATTACTAGGATAGGAGATTAGTAGGCTAGGACATTAATAGGATAGGCCTCTAGTAGGATAGGTTTTTAATAAAATTGGTCATTAGTAGGATAGGACATTAGTAGGCTAGGACATTAATAGGATAGGCCTCTAGTAGGATAGGTTGTTAATAAAATTGGTCACTAGTAGGTTAAGACATTAGTAGGATAGACCATTAGTAGGATAGGACATTAGTAGGATAGGCCATTAGTAAGTTAGGTTTTTAATAAAATTGGTCATTAGTAGGATAGGAAATTAGTAGGATAGGACATTAGTAGGATGGGTCATAAGTAGGATAGGATATTAGTAGGATAGGCCATTAGTAGGTTAGGTTTTTAATAAATTTGGTCATTAGTAGGATAGGACATTAGTAGGTTAGACCATTATTAGGATAGGACATTAGTAGGATAGGACATTTATAGGATAGGCCTCTAGTAGGATAGGTTTTTAATAAAATTGGTCTTTAGTAGGCTAGGACATTAGTAGGCTAGGACATTAATAGGATAGGCCTCTAGTAGGATTGGTTTTTAATAAAATTGGTCATTAGTAGGATAGGACATTAGTAGGCTAGGACATTAATAGGATAGGCCTCTAGTAGGATAGGTTTTTAATAAAATTGGTCATTAGTAGGCTAAGACATTAGTAGGATAGACCATTAGTAGGATAGGACATTAGTAGGATATGTCATTAGTAGGTTAGGTTTTTAATAAAATTGGTCATTAGTAAGATAGGACATTGGTAGGATAGGTCATTAGTAGGATAGGACATTAGTAGGATAGGCCATTAGTAGGTTAGGTTTTTAATAAAATTGGTCATTAGTAGGATAGGACATTAGTAGGATAGGACATTAGTAGGATGGGTCATTAGTAGGATAGGATATTAGTAGGATAGGCCATTGGTAGGTTAGGTTTTTAATAAAATTGGTCATTAGTAGGATAGGACATTAGTAGGTTAGACCATTAGTAGGATAGGTCATTAGTAGGATAGGCCGTTAGTAGGATAGGTTTTAAAAAAAATTTGGCATTAGTAGGCTAGGACATTAGTAGGATAGGTCATTAGTAGGATAGGATTAGTAGGATAGGTTTTAAATAAAATTGGTCATTAGTAGGATAGGACATTGGTAGGATAGACCATTAGTAGGATAGGACATTAGTAGGATAGGCCATTAGTAGGTTACGTTTTTAATAAAATTGGTCATTAGTAGGATAGGACATTAGTAGGCTAGGACATTAATTTGATAGGCCTCTAGTAGGATAGGTTTTTAATAAAATTGGTCATTAGTAGGCTAAGACATTAGTAGGATAGGTCATTAGTAGAATAGGACATTAGTAGGATAGGACATTTATAGGATAGGCCTCTAGTAGGATAGGTTTTTAATAAAATTGGTC